CCTCCTCCTCCTCCTTCACTTCACCAATCTTATTCTTCTCTCAATAATAATAATAACAATGAATGGATGAACCAGAAAGGTCCAGAATCAATATCCGAAGTTCCCTCTTACTGCTGACTCAACTCCACAACAACAACAACAACAACAACAACAACAACAACAACAAGCCCACCATAGCTATCGCTTCCCTATTTCAGCCTTCCCTCTCATGCACAAGCCATGGCGGACTGATAAGGGCCCTGCCCTCCTGTACAAAACACAACCCAAAGCAGCTATGGTGCTGCCGATGTCCAAAGGACAACCCAAGAGCAGCTATGCCGCTGCTGACTGGTTCGACATGCCTGACTCTGCCTTGAGCTTCCTTGCTGTAGCGCTACCCCAACTGGGGCCTTCTGGATGCAGCGCCCAACAAGGTGATGAAGACGGTGCCCACCATAGCCAGGTAAGTGCCTCAACACTCTCCTACCATGCCCCTTTTTCCTCCTCCTCAAGCTAGACTGCTCGCCATAGCCAGGCTGAGCTCTAGCGGTCCCTTCTCCCTCCAAGCAGCGCTGTACCTCCAGCGCTGTGCTCCAGCAGCATGTCGCCAATCCTTGCACACCGCAAATGAGGAAGAGCTCTTTGCTCTTCCTGGAGATATAGCGGCCTACTGGCCTCCTGGGCGGTGACTTCCTAGGCCGAGCGGCCTCCCAGCAACCGGTACCTCCTCCCTTTCGGAGGGAAACATCATTGCAGGCTCTGCTATCCTCCGGACAGRCCCTAGACCCGGGCTACTTGGACTGGTACCGGMCTACCTCTAACCTACAGCCTACCGCTACTGGGCCTCTAAAAATGCCAACTTTTTGTCTTCTTCTGCTCGGCCTTCAGTACGACACTCRTACCACTACTCTAGTGGTACCGTCCTACCTGCTACTCGAGTGTTTCCCCCCTRCTCTAAGTRKYGYGGGCCTACMCCCSCTACTTGAYTGTCTACCCCCCCTTCAACCTTGACAGTCACGGCCACAGGTAAGTACTGGCCCTGCGGGGCCTTGCAAACAACAAGTACCCTTGCGGGTCACACACACGCAACCGACAAGCACACAGACAGCCATGCAAAGCAGCAGGCACGCACACACACACACACAGACATGGAAATCACAGCAAGGGGGACCTCCAGCGCATGGCGATTGCGGCCACAGCCGCGGGCGCAGCCCCCGTTGTTCGCTTACCCGTCAAACGACGAAGCCGTTCGACGGGGATTCAACGGAGTTGAATCTATTCAACGGGGATTCAACTCCCGTTCAACGCGTTCAACGGGTTCAACGGGGATACAACGGACGGGGTCGGAGACAAACCCCTGTTTTTTAGTTCACGTCGCCGGCGCTGCGTGCCCGGCGGCCGTTGCGCGCGGTCCGCTGAACCGAGTTCAACGGAAACCGCCCGTTGTATCATTCAACGGGGATTCAACTCGGGTCTTGTGCCCGTTCAACGGGTGCAACGGAGTTGAAAAAATCTCGTTGATAGTTGAATGGACGCACAGTTGGTCAGGCCTGGTTGTGGTCCTCATTGTGATATGCTTGTTGAAAGGGTTAAAGAGTTAGGTAATGTGACTTTGGTCATATCCAACTACTTGTTTCTTTCCGAAAGAGGTTTGGATTAAAGACTAAGCAATGTGGTTTCAATTTGGCTTAGTTTGAAGTTACACGCATAAAGAAAAACCTGAAAATATGATTTTCTATATATAGATATTACATTCTTATTATTGAACAAGCTACTTGGAGAATGTGGCTTCAGTTTGGTCTGACTATAGCCTATCACAAAAAGGAGAAGAGAATATGTAGTTAAGAATATCACAAAGGTATTTTAAGGCAGACTTAGCAATGTGGCTTCGATTTGTAATCAGTTGCGAACCTTGAGAGATGCGTTCGCCATCCCCCTAGACTTTTATCAACTTTCATAACTCGAAGCTCTCTTCTGGGTCTATGGATTTATAACAAGAACCTGAGAGGTCTGTGGCCATAGAATCCCGCAAGTCTTTCCATGACCAAGGAATTACCTCAATCAATTTGCGTCTCTTATCCTCCAAGTTGTGAAGCTGACCCAAATATAGTATGAGTTTTTCTATTGTTTCTCACGAGCTGCACGTATAATCCCACAGATCCCCTATCTGAAGTATCGCATTTTTAATCCATCTTCTTCCAAAGTTACTAGATGCGGTGTTTGCACTTCCAAGCCCCGGATGGAGAACGGATGTGTGGATTTTCAAACAGGGGTTGGCTGAGGACTTCAGTTTTTGTTACTGGTTTCACCCACACGTCCGGGCGCAATGTTTTCCATGCTTGGATTATAGCTTTCCAGAAGGGGGACTTGATGAATGGATGCTAATAAGAGTGGAGCATCAAGCACGTTCAAACATCGGATTGGTGTCGGAGGTTCCATTCTTGGAATAGGATGTGCTCTGCAAGAGAGACCCAATGAGGTTCAGAAAACTCCAATGCGGTTTTGAATAGCCATTTTATCAGCATGATGTCGTTTCGTTTTGGGGGATCAAGGATTCCCAGTCCACCTCGGTCTCGAGGGACGCATAACATTTTTCATGCCACTTTGGAGAAGTTTGGACATAAACACATTGTCATCACTTGCAGACGACTTTCATAGGAATTTTGCAGCCCTGCGTTTTACCAAGTTATACAGTTGTTTTCCAAAACCTTTAACCACCCCTACAAACCACAACAGGGCGAATAGTGCACCGTTGATTACCATTCCCCTTCCAAATAGGGAGAGATGGGGGGCTTTGTCCGAGGTAGTCAAGCGGTGTAGAACTTTTTGTAGGAGCAGATCATTCGGGTCACCTATACATGACAGTGGTGAAATATGGATGCATAAGAAGCGTTCAGAGCGATTATCTTCTATCATTTTCATTCCCCATTGAACTGTCATCTTAAAGTCCGATTTTATAAAAAAACACAGATTTATGTTAGTTAACTGCAGCTTCCGAGAGCTCGGTATAAGCATCTAAACATTGTCTCAATGCCCCCCGAGACGAGGGTGAGTTCTTTGTTACGGCGAATAGGTCATCGACGATAACTTTTACTTTATAACTTAACTGGCCTACCGGGAATCCATGGATTTGATTGTTCATTCAAATATTGTCAAGTAGCACTTCAATCTGGATGGCAAACAACAGTGGGGCTATTGGTCAGCCCTGCCTCATTGAGCGGGTTAAGGAGAACTGAGTGGAGAGTGTTTCATTAACTATTACGACTGCAGTTGACATGATATACATTACCACTACCCAGGAGCAAAATACTTGACCAAACCCCATCACCTTCAATATAGACGGTACATATGACCAGTTTACCCGGTCGTAGTTTTTTTCAAAGTCGAGAAGGAGCAACGCAAAGTTCAAATTTTCGTTGTGGATAATTTCAAGGGTCTCGACGGTTATCACTATGTTGGTGAAGATTGATTGCTCTTTTATAAAAGTCGCTTAATTAGGTTGAACTAAATCTGACAGGTATCTTCCAAGACGACGGATCATGATTTTGGCCAGTAACTTATACAAAACATTTAATACTGATATAAGCCTCCAGTTATGAATCTCAGTTTTGTCCCCTTTTTAAAATAACACAGGAATGATCCCTCTGCACATGCTGGTAGATAACCTCCCCCCTGTTAGCACATCATTATATATCTCCACCAAACTTTCCCCCACCGAAGCCCAAATGGATATATATAGTTTCACTGGGATGTCAGCATCACCTAGAGATTTGCCTTTAGAAATAGATGTCAAGACCGTATGAGCTTCTTCTACCGTTATTGGACGGTCCAAGTCTAAGTTCCCCACAGTGGTTAGTTTCACCTTGGTATTTGATGAATGGTCACAACGTAGACCGAGATTGTCTTCAACTACCGCTCCTTGAAGTTGAGAGGTTAAAATGTTTTTATAATATAAGGCCGCATGATTATAGATTTTCATGTGCTCTTTGGCCTTTGGAGCCGCAGGGTCGAAAGGGTGAGTCCGTTGCCGCATGGGGATCGTTGTTCTCCTCCCGCCGGGAGGAGTCTCTGGAAGGACTCCTTCGTTATGCGATCGTAGACAATGATTCCTTTAACTTGTAGTCTGTTCGACCGGATTTATGATTTCCTTTTTTGAACATCATTCCATTCGGTCATTAACTTAGCCCTTTCCTTTC